AGTGGATGCTGATCCATAATGGGGAGGGGGGAGGCTTGGGAAAAATGGAGGCACTTTAACTGGGCAGAGGAGAGGGAGGGGTGGGAGGGGAGGGAGAGTGTAAGAGGGCAGGAAAGATGGTGCAATGAGATATGACTGCACATATGGTGTGACGCTACATTGTGTACAACCATAAAAATGTAAAGTTGTGTTGCAATTGTGTACAATGAATCAAAATGCATTCTGCTGTCATATATACCTAATTAAAATAAATTAATTAAGTTTTAAAAAGAGGTATCTATGTCACAGAAAAAAATAAAATTTAAAGTCACTGGAAATTTAAAAAAAAGCGGGGGGCGGGGGTTGTGGCTTAGTAGTAGAGTGCTTGCCTCACATGTGTGAGGCACTGGGTTTGATTCTCAGCACTGCATGTAAATAAATGAATAAAAATAAAGGTCCATCAACAACTAAAAATATTTTTTATAAAAGGATTAGGGGTATAGCTCTGTGGTAGAATGCTACTACTTTAGCATGTGAAAGGCCCTGAGTTTACTGTCCAACACTAGAAATAAATAAATAAGTATATAAAGGTGATGCATGAACAGGGTCTGGCTTACAGCAAACACTAAGCTCATGGATGCCAATATTGCTGTATTATATTGAGAGCAGAGATTGAAGAATGAGCAGGAGGGCAATTCAGCTGGCAATTCAGCTCTTAAATACCTGCTCTCAAGAATGAAAGAAGTCCTGTAGGAAACCTTGATCTCCTCTCCTTAGAAGGTAAGTTAGAGACCATTTGTCACCTCCCCTTGGAAGTGGTCTCTACCACCCCAAACCCCACCTCCAGAATTTATGAAGGAAATGTCTTGCTCATCTGTTAGGAGCCCTGATCAACAGAAATATGCTCCATCTCAGCACTTTTCAGGGATGTTCCCTGACCCTTGGAAGCTACCCAGAAAAGGACCGTTCTGCTCCTTAATCTGTCTCTGAGAAACAGGTTTAAATTTTAACTCTGCTTCATACTTGCCCTTTGAAAAGTCACTCAACCTTGTAAGCCCCATTTCCTAATCTACCAAACCAAAATAATGAATTTTTTCTTTTTTCTTTAGGCACTCTATCAGTGAGCTATACCCCAGTCCTTTTTACTTTGTGTGTGTGTGTGTGTGTGTGTGTGTGTGTGTGTGTGTGTGTACTGGGAAATGGAACCCAGGGCCACTTTACCCTTAAGATACATCCCAGTCCGTTTTCTCTTTCTTTTTAAGTTTTGAGACAGGGTCTTGCTAAATTGTCCAGGCTGGCCTTGAACTTGCAATCCTCAGATTCCTGAGTCCCTGGGATCACAGCATGAGACATGCTACCCAAAAGAAATGGTGAATTTTGCTTTCAGGTTGGTGGGGGAAGAAAACTGTATTGAATAGAAACAAAAAACTGGAAATGGTCCCCACAGCACTGCCCCAATGCTTCTCCCTCCAACTGGGGCTACTTAACTCTCACATGCAGGTTCTGCCCTGATTGGGGCTTAAGATGAACTTTGCATTTAATCAGGRGAACTTTAAAAAGATTTCATCTCTTTAATCAGGTAACTTGAAAATGTACTCTAGTGTTTCTTCCTATGGTCAATCCTGGTTTAAAATAAATTATTTTGGGCTGGGGTTGTGGCTCAAAGGTGGAGCATTCACCCAGTATGTGTGAGGCCCTGGATTTGATCCTCAGTGCCACACAAAAATAAATAAACAAAATAAAGATATTGTGTCCAACTACAACTAAAATAAATAAGTATTTTATTTTAAAATCACTAAATTAGTAAAATTATATTGTAAAATCCTGGCCCTTTAATTTGGATGCACATTGGAATCAGCCTGAGGGGTTAACACTGATACCTGTGTCCCATCTCCAGAGATTTGGATTTTTTTTTGGCAGTGTTGGGGATCAAACCCAGGGCCTTGGACATGCTAGGCAAGTACTCTAGCACTGAGCTACACTCCCAACCCTCAAAGATCTGGCTTTGACTGGGTGCAGTGGTATACTCCTGTAATCTCAGCAGCTCTGGACGCTGAGGCAGGCAGATCAAGAGTTCAAAGCCAGCCTCAGCAATTTAGTGAGTCCCTTAGCAATTTAGCAAGATCCTGTCTCTAAATAAAATATAAAAAATACAAAAAGGGCTGGGGATGTGGCTCAGTGCTTAAGTGTCCCTGAGTTCAATCCCTAGTGAAAAAAAAAATCTGGATTTAATTGACTAGGACATGGCCTAGACATTGAAGTTTGTGAAGCCTTTCTGCCCCACTCCCCTAAAGGCACTGGATATACATTCCATCTGAAAACAAACATTGGGGGGAAATGAAACTATTTTTTTCAAGAAAGGGGTCATCAGACAATGAGGGATAGTGATCCCTGAGAGACTGGAAACAAATGAAGTGAGACCGTGATTTCCCAAAACTACTGTCTAGATAGTTTTCAGACCATGGGGCAGGGAAGGGTAACCCAACTAGAGTCAAGCAGACTGAGTTGAAGACATGGAGCTGAGAATCTGGGGAGACCAAGGAGGCTGGAGTTTGCAGGAGAGAGCCCTGGAAAAGAGAGCTGAAAAGGGAAGTCTGGAGTTACACTCAAGTATCAGCTTTGGTGCTCATTAGCAAATACATGTGAAGAAACTATCCAAATAATATTGTTTTAATGAATATATGTGTGAATATATATGATATATGATATACACACACACATATACCATGAGGTTATATGATTATTTCTAATTCATAATTCATAAGTGTTTTTCTGAACTTTTTTTTTTTTAGAATTTTTAATATTTATTTTTTAGTTGGCGGACACAACATCTTTGTTGGTATGTGGTGCTGAGGATCGAACCCGGGCCGCACGGATGCCAGGCGAGCGCGATACCGCTGAGCCACATCCCCAGCCCCTGAACTTTCTTTTTCTTGGTTCAGGATTATACCCAGCACCTTGAATTTGTGAGGTAGGTGCTCTACCACTTAGCAATGTCTCCAGCCCTTTATTTTACTTTTTAAATTCTAATGTTTTTGCAGTACTGAGGGTTGAATCCAGAGGTGCTTTACCAAATGAGCACTGATTTTTTTTTTTTAGCACTGATTAATTGAACCACATCCCCAGCCCTTTTTTTTTTTTAAATCAGGAATTGAATCCAGAAGTGCTTAACCACTGAGCCACATCCCTAGTCTCCCTTTTTTTAGTATTTAAAAATATTGTTAGTTATAGATGGACATAATGACTTTATTTTATTTATTTAATTTTATGTGAAACTGAGGATCGAATCCAGTACCTCACACAAGCAAGGTAAGCGCTTTACCACTGAGCTACAACCCAAGCCCCCCAGCCCTTTTTTATATTTTATTTAGAGACAGGGACTCACTAAGTTGCTTAGGGCTTCACTAAATTGCTGCCACTGGCTTTGAACTTTCCATCCTCCTGCCTCATCCTCCCGAGCAGCTGGGATTACAGGCATGCATCACATAATCAGCTTGAATTTTTTTTATATTTATTTTTATTTTATTTTATTTATTTTTTTTTTAAAGAGAGAGTGAGAGAGGAGAGAGAGAGAATTTTTAATATTTATTTTTTAGTTGGCGGACACAACATCTTTGTTTGTACGTGGTGCTGAGGATCGAACCCGGGCTGCACGCATGCCAGGCGAGCGCGCTACCGCTTGAGCCACATCCCCAGCCCCGTTTTATATTTATTTTTATTTTGGATACCAGGGCTTAAACCCAGAGCATTTAATCATTGAGCCACGTTCCAGGCCTTTTTTTTTTTTTTTTTTTTTTTTTGAGACAGAGTTTCACTAAGTTGCTTAGGTCCTCACTAAATTTCTGAAGCTGGCTTTAAACTTGGAATCCTTCAGCCTGTCTCCTGAACTGTTGGGATTATAGGCACTTGCCATCACACCCAGCCAGTTTAAACTTCTCTGACTTTATATTAGGATCTCTTTTCTCTTAAAAGGAAATATTCTATTCCTAATATTATCTTGTTTACATATATATATATATACTTACATATTTATATATGTATATATATACTTACATATTTATATATGTATATATACTGAATATGTATACATTAATTACAAAATTACTATGCCAACATTAATAGTAATAAATAAAAAATGCCAAATAAATTTTGGTCCTCAGAATGTATCTCTTTAAGTATACACACTCAGAGGGCTGTGTTCAAAGATCATGTTATGCTTCCTTACTCATCTGAAGCCAAGGCAATGAATATGACAGCAGGAGAAGAGAGCAGGTTCCTGAGGACAGCAGTGTTTGGATGTCAGGAAGAATAACTGGCAGGAGGGAAATCAGCAATTTGACATACCACGGTCTCAGAAAGCAAAGTTTTCATTACCAATGTAGGGTTCACAATTGTATTGGCAGCTGCTGAGAGTTCAAACATGGACAGTGCTACCATTTGAAGGTCCCCTTCAGAACACAAGTTGAAATTTAATTGCCATTGTGAATGTATTGAGAAGTGGAACTTTCAGCTGGACACAGTGGTGCATGCCTATACCTTCAGCAACTCGGAGGCTTAGACAGGAGGATTGCAATTTCAAAGGCAGCCTCATCAACTTAGCAAGATCCTGCCTCAAAATTAAAAATTAAAAGAGCTGAGGATGTGGCTCAGTGAKTAAGTGCCCCGGAGTTCAATCCTGGTACAAAAAGAAAAAAAAGTGGAAATTTTAAGAAGTGATTAGGGCTCTGTCCTCATGAGTGAACTGATGCCATTATACAGGTGGGTTAGTTATTAAGGGAGTGGCCTGCTGAGGAAAGAATGAATTTGGCCTGATTTCTTCTGCTTTTTATGACACAGCACAAAAGCCACAGCCAGATGCTGGTGCAGTGTCCTCAGACAGCCCAGCCTCCAAAACTATGAGCCAAATAAATTCATACTATTTAAAAATTACCAAATCTGCAGTTTTCTGTTACAGCAGCAGAAAACTGACTCAGACAGACTGATGATACTAGCAATAACCCCCCAAAAAGCTGTATGTATTGAATACTGTACTATGTACCCAGGCACTGTGTTTAGTGCTTTACACACAATTACACAAAGAATCTTTATAGAAGTCTGTGGGGTAGGCACTATTATTGTGTTCATCCTCCACTTGCTATTGTGTTTCAAAGAGATAAAACAACCTGCTCAAGGCTACACGGCAAGTAAGTGAGGGAACCTGGTTTCTCACCCAGTATGCTCCTAACCATGGATGCTCACTGGATTTGGAAGCATCAACTTTGTTGGTGACCTGGATGAGAGTATTTTCAGTGGAAAGGAAGAGAAAGAAGTTAAATTGGAATATGATTAAAAAGTGAATTTGGGATGAGAAAGTAGAGACACTGAATTGAGTCAGTACCTTGAGGAAGTTTGTCTGTGGTACTGGGCACAGTGGCACATGCCTGTGGAAGGAAACACAATGGAAATGCAGAGGAGAAAGTGGAGTCAAAGAAGAGTTGCAATTGAGAAGGTGAAAGTGATGGGACCTTGAGCCTCAGAGCRTCCATGGAAGGGATGGTTTTAGTGACTGATTGAATCCAGGGCCTCATGCATGCTAAACATGCACTCTACCACGGAGCTACACCCCCAAAGGGATGGTTTTAGTTAGAATGAAAAATATTTCTTTAATGCTGATAAGAAAGTAAGTTCATGTTTATATATATTAGATGGACAAAATACCTTTATTTTATTTATTATGGTGCTGAGGATTGAACCAGTGCCTTATACATGCTAGGCAAGCACTCTACCACTGAACCATAGCCCTGGCCCCAAGGGAGTTCTTTTGACTTCTACTTCCTCAAAAAGCTTGAGACAACACCCCTAGGTGTGGTGGTACACACCTGTAATCCTAGTGGCTCAGGAGGCTGAGACAGGAGGACCACCACTTCAAAGGCAGCCACAGCAAAAGTGAGGTACTAAGCAACTCAGTGAGCCCCTGTCTCTAAGTAAAATACAAAATAGGGCTGGGATGTGGCTCAGTGGTCAAGTGCTCTAAGTTCAATCCTTGGTACAAAAAAAAAAAAAAGCACTTGAGACAACACTGCCAACTGTAAGTGCCAAGAGATCTGTGAGAGACATTTGAAGAGGAAAACACATCAGTTGTTTGAGCCAAAGGGAAAACATGGTAAGATATCCCTGTAAGATTGAGACCCCATTGGGGCTTATGAGCTTGTAGCTAAAGTCAAACAAAGCTAGGATGTATATGGTTTTCTCCAACTATGTTTAGCATGGCTACCAGAGAACCCTGTTCTGAGTTGTGGATTACTTAGCAGAGGGTGGGGCAAGAGGTTGATCCCAATGTTGGAGCTGGGAATCCAAGTCAACCAGTGATACATGGAAGAGGAGGACACAAGCAGCAGTACGTGAGGGCCTGTGGGTTTTTTTGTGAGATTAGAGATGGAAGAGGAGGGGGCAGGAAAATATTCATACTTTGTGTGCATATATGACCCTGAGAGATCATCAGAAGACAAAGAGACTAAGGAAGGCTCTGATGTTGAACCAATCATCTCAGAAGGATGAAAGGAAGAAGGATGAAAGAAAGACAATAAATCCTTTCATAGTACATGAAACAAAGGTCAGAGAAAATAAGGAACTTCTCCTAGGTCACATAGTGACCTTGTGGTAGGGTTGTGAAATTAGCTTTGCCTAACCCCAGAGCCTGGATCAAACTACTGATCTCCTGTTGAGTTTGTGAATTCATCCTCCGSAACTGGTCTGCTATCATGTGAACTGACAAACTGGGTTGTCCTCATCCTCTCTGAACTGTCATTCTGACCACTACAATAAACTTATCCCCACCTTTAGTTGGCTCTGCCTCCAGAACTTGTCCCATACCGGGCACTGAGTTTATGACTCCACTTCCTGCTGTTTATGGTACAAGCTGTCCCATAACTGGGCTTCTTACATGGACTAGAAGAGCAATGATAACAATAATGAAAGTAATACCTGTTTCTATTACCTTTATCAGGCTCTATGCCGGGCTTGGCACTACTTCTCATTTGAGCCAAAATCTCATTATCATCCCATTATCATCCCCATTTGCAGATGAGAACACCGAGGCTCAGAAAGATGAAATCTCAGCCACACAAGGTGGAACAGCCCTCAGTAATAATTACAGTAGTGATCTTGGCTGAGGCAGGAGGAGCCCAAGTTCAAGGCCAGCCTGGGAAACTTAGTGAGAACTTGTCTCAAAATAAATTTTAAAAAGGGGCTGGGGATGTAGCTCAATGGTAAATCATCCCTGAGTGTCTTCCCCAGTACCACACACACACACACACAAAAAAAAAAAAAAAAAAAAAAAAAAAAAAAAAAAAAAAAAAAAAAAAAAGGAAAAGGAAAAGGAAAGAACTCACTTATTAAGGACCACCCAGCTGGGAAGTTGCAGAGGTGGATTAAATCCTGAATATTTCTGGCTCTCCCAGTTCCTGCCTTTTTGCAAATTATTAAAATAAAGATAAGGACTTGTTAGCATGTGCACCAATATAACATATTCTCATTAAAATAATTAAAAAAAMAATTCTATGATACTGAGTCCCAATCTGCCGGTGCAGCTGGCATTCCTTGTCAAGACTCCTCCAAGAATGGCTTGGGAACTTTTCAGAATGTCTTACCTGCATTTCAGAACAAGTCCTGCAAGGTGCCACATGACCTTGCCAATGCTAACCCTTCTAACCCTAATTGGTAAGAAGTTACCTCGTGTCTAGCATCTGACCTGGCACTTTACCCACATGATGTAATATATGTGTCCAAATATCCTTAAAGTATATGAATAATGTTTGTATCTAATAAATAAGGAAACTGAGGTACAGAGAAATTAGGGTGGTTTGTTACTGGTCACATCTAGAACTCAGGATTGGCAAAATGAGCTACAGTATCTCTTGTCCTGCAGTGGTGACTCTGGTGTCTCCCCTGTTGTTATTATTGTTATGGTGCATTTTTTAAATTTTTCTTTTGAGGTGATTAGAATTGAGCTCAGATAGCAGCTTTTACACACACACACACACACACACATATTGTAGATGAACACAATACCTTTATTTTGTCCATTTATTTTTCTGTGGTGCTGAGGATTGAACCCAGTACCTCACATGTGCAAGGCAAGCAAGCGCTCTACCACTAAGCCCCTGCCCCAGCCCCAGATAACAGCTTTTTAAAAAAAATTTTTTTTAAGTTGTTGATGGATCTTTATTTTATTTATTTGTATGTGGTGCTGAGACTCAAACCCAGTACCTCATGCATGCTAGGCAAGTGCTCTACCACTGAGCCACAACCCCAGCCCCAAATAAGATAACAGCTTTTTTAAAGGCAAAGTTTTCCTGAAGAAGTGGGATCTAGCCTGGCCAATAGGATATTGTTTGATTGATTGATTTTATTTGTTGTTTTTGGATATATGTGACAGTAGAGTGTATTTTGACATATAATACATACATGGAGTACAACCCATTCCAATTAGGATCCCATTCTTGTGGTTGTACATAATGTGAAATCACACTGGTCATGCATCTCCCCTGGTTTGACTCCTCAGGGTGATTTTGGGAATTGTTCCTACCAATACACAGCCCCCCAACACTGGTGCTTTGGCTGTCATGGAGATTTCATGAACCACTTGCTCAAATCAAAGCAGGATTGGTTGGTTTCTTTCATTTGTAGCTAAAAACATTTTTTATAGCTTTTTTGAGCTGAATACAATGGCACAAGCCTGTAATCCCAGTGATTTAGGAGGCTGAGGCAGGAGTATCACAAATTCAAGGCAAGTCTCAACAAATTAGCAAGACCCTGTCTCAAAATAAAATAAAAAAGATTGGGAATGTAACTCAGTGGTAGAACACTCCTGGGTTCAATTCCCAGTACCCCCCAACAAAAGAAAGTTTTCATGAATAGCATTGACATATACAATTCACCCATTTAAAACCTATAATCTGGGGGATGGGATTGTTGCTCAGTGGTAGAGTGCTCACCTAGCACATGCAAGGTCCTGGGTTCGATCCTCAGCACCACATAAAAATAAATAAATAAAATAAAGGCATTGTGTCCAACTACATCTAAGAAAATAAATATTTTTTTWAAAAACCCTATAATCTGGATGGGCATGGTGGCTCACACCTGTAATCCCAGCCGCTCAGGAGGCTAAGGCAGAAGGATCAGGAGTTCAAAGCCAGCCTCAGCAATTTAGCGCTGCTGTAAGAAACCTAGTGAGATCCCCTCTCAAAATAACGAATAAAAAGTGCTAGGATGTGGCTCAGTGGTTAAGTGCCCTTGAATTCAATTCCTGGCACCAAAAATAAAAATAAAATAATAAAATAAAGTCTATAATCCACTAGTTTTTATTATGTTCAGAGTTGTGCAAACACCACCAAATAATTTTGTTTTATTTATCTATTTGTTTGTTTGTTTGTTTATTCAGACACACCAAGGATTGAACCCAAGGGCACTTAACCACTGAGCCACATCTCCAGCCCTTTTTGTTTTTAATTTTTAATTTTGAGACAGGTTCTCGCTAAATTGCTGAGGCTGACTTTGAGCTGGTGATCCTCCTGCCTCAGCCTCCTAAGCTGCTGGCATTCCAGACATGCACCACCAAGCCTGGCTACCAAATTATTTTAGAATTTTTTCTTGCCCAAGAAAGAGACTCCATAACCATTAATAGTCATTTCCCATTTCTTCCCACCCTCAGCAAACTATTTGTTCCTCTCTACCCACTTTTGTGGTTCTAAATACGTTTTAGGATGTTTTTGTTGTTGTTTGTTATTTCTGTGAAGAATGTCAATTGGCATTTTTTTTAGGGATTGCACTGAATCCATAGATCAATTTGGGTAGTATTGACATTTTAGCAATACTAATCCTTTGAATCTATGGATACAGGATATCTTTCCATTTATTTGTATCTTCTTCAGTTTATTTTATCAATAGTTTATTGTCTTCAGTATAGAGATATTTCACCTCCTTGGTTAAATTTATTCTTAAGTATTTTATATTTTTCTTGTAGCTATTGTAAATGTGATTTTTTAAAAATTTTCTTTTTCAGATAGGTTGCTGTTAGTGTAACACTACTGATTTTTGCAAATGGATTTTGTATCCTACATGTACTGAATTTATTTTTTAGATCTAAGTTTTTTGACCCACCTTTGGCTTTTCTTATACAGGATCATGTTTACTGTAAAGGGGGCCACCTGAATTCCTCCCTTTCCAATTTGGATGCCTTACATTTCTCTCTCTTGCCTAATTGCTCTGGTAAGAACTATGTTGAATAAAAATGGTGAAAGTGGGTATAATTATTTTGTTCCAGATCCTAGATGGAAGCTTTCAGATTTTCCCCAATCAGTGTGATATAGGCTACGACTTATCATATGTGGACTTTATTATTGTGAGGTACATTTCCTTCTATACCTAGTTTGTTATCATGAAGACATATTGAATTTTTTCAAGTGCCTTTTCTGCATCATTCAAAGTGATCATATGGTTTTTGTCCTTCATTCTGTTAATGTCATGTATTATGTTTGCTGATTTGCATATCAATTGAGYCATACTTGCATCCCTGAGATGAATTCCACTTATTCATGATTAATAATTTTTTGGATGAGCTGTTGCACTCAGCTTGCTAGTATTTTCTTTTCTTTTCTTTGTACTGGTGATTGAACCCAGGGGCACTCAATCACTGAGCCACATCCCCAGCCCTATTTTGTATTTTATTTAGAGACAGGGGCTCACTGAGTTGCTGAGGGCCTCACCATTGCTAAGGCTGGCTTTGAACACGAGATCCTCCTGTCTCAGCCTCCTGAGCCGCAGGCGTATGCCACCTGCTAGTATTTTCTTGAGTTTGTTGTTGTTGTACCAGGGATTGTACCCATGGGTGCTTTACCACTGAGCTATAGTCTGGAGGATTTTTGCAACTGTTTTCTCAAGGGTATTGGCCTACGGTTTTCTGGTTTTCTTTTCTTATTTTGTCCAGCAACTAAAAATCTTGACTGGTGGTATACTGCATAACAACTTCATCAGGTTTGTAAACCATGTGTATTATGCTGAGCTATTTAATTAGGAATTTTTGATTGTTTTTATGTTACTTGTGATTGAATCTGGAGGCACCTTGCCACTGAGCTACACCCCAAGTCCTCATCTATATGTATTTCTAAAGCATATAATGTCCATGTTTATAGTTGAGAAAAGAAAGGCTTAGAGAAGGTGGGCAACTTGCCTGAGGTCACAGAGCAAATAAGCAGCAGAACTAAGATTCAGATTCTACATCCTGATCTCTGCATCTTAACTGCAGAGGGGTGGGARAAAGCTCTTCCTCTTTCCTCTTCCACAGGTGGAGGAACCATCCTGCTTGTTCCAAAGAAGTGGGTGGTCTGACTGTCACTGGTGGCAGTAGGATTGTGACTGCCTGGTGGGTGGAAACTCTGTGCCTGTAACAGGAACCCATTCTGACTCTCCTAAGCAGAGGTCACAAGACCTGGCAGCTTCCTTCATGACCACTGCACTGGGCAATGTCTGGTAGGCTCAAGGTTCAGGGGCCCAGCCTCTGACCCAGACTGGGCAGACAGGGTGTGGAGCCATCAGGAAGGCAAACTTGGGCTGGTTGGTCTCTTTCTTCCTGGGCTGGCTCCCAACTCCACTTGTCCACAACCTCCTTAGTAGTTTGTCCTCTGCACATACTCTGTGACATAACTTAGTCATAGCTTTCTTTAAGTCAACTCACCTTTTTTAAACTTAAAAGGTTTATTTTATTTTTTTAAAGTTCTGGGCATGGGCTGGGGATGTGGCTCAAGTGGTAACACGCTCACCTGGCATGCGTGGGGCGCTGGGTTCGATTCTCAGCACCACATAAAATAAAAATAAAGATTTTGTGTCCAATGAAAACTGAAGAGAAAAAAAAAAGTTCTGGGCATGGTGCCACATGCCTGTAATCCCAGTGACTCTGAAGGCTAAAGCAGGAGGATCACAAGTTCTAGGCCAGCCTCAGCAATTTAGTGAGGCTCTAAGCAACTTAGCAAGAACCTGTCTCAAAAAATAAAAAGGGTTGTGGATGTAGCTCAGTGATAAAGCACCCCTGGATTCACTCTCTGGTAAGAAAAAAGAAAAAACCTCTGGGGCTCAGTGGTAGAGTACTGAGTACATATACAAGGTCCTGGATTCAATCCTCAAGTTGGCTAAAGTAAACRAACAAACAAACAAATAAATAAARCCTTTCAAATARATGATAATATAAGCATCTGATACATTATTTGAACAGTATAGAGGGAAAAGTTTTTTTCYTTTATCCTTGTTACCCTTGCCACCCTTTAAGAGACATTTTATCGGCAGGTGCAGTGGCGTACACCTGTAATCCCAGTGGCTTGGGAGGCTGAGGTAGGAGGATCTTGAGTTCAAAGTCAACCTCATCAATTTAGTGAGGCACCAAGCAATTCAATGAGACCCTGTCTCTAATAAAATGAAAAAATAGGTCTAGGGATGTGGCTTAGTGGTCGAGTGCCCCTGAGTTCAATTCCTGGTAACCCCCCACCCTCCCCAAAAAAGAGACATCTTATCAAAGAGACATTTTATCAAAGCAGAGCACAGTGATGCATGCCTATAATTCCTGGGGAGGCTGAGTCAGGAGGATCATGAGTTCAAAGCCAGCCTCAGTAATTTAGAGAGGCCCTAAGCAACTTAGCAAGGCCCTGTCTCTAAATAAAATATATAAAAAAGGCCTGGGATGTGGGTCAGTGGTTAAGTGCCCCTGGGTTCAATCCTGGTATCAAAAGGAGTGGGGGCGTGGAGACATCCTACCTTATTAAATTTCCTTGTGTCCTTCAGAGATTTTGCCTATGCATATACAAGCAAATGGACATATCATCTTTAAAAATCAACTGTTAGGCTTTATTTTCTAAGTAAAATAGTTTGGAGAATTTCATGTCTGTACTCAGAGATCTGCCTTGTTCTTATTTGTATGACTAAATAGTTTTCTAGTACCATAATTTATCTAGTTCTTTACTAATGCATATTGAACTTATTTCCAATCTTTTCCTGTCACAACTTATGATAAATATGTTTATCTGTTATTTTGATAATTGTATATTTATCTAAAAGATKAATTCCTAGACGTGGAACCATTGGGAACAACTAACATGTGTATTTTATGTCTTTTTTGTTTCTGAGGATTGATCCCAGGGGCACTTTACCACTGAACTACACTCCCAGTCCTTTTTTTTTTTTTTWAATATTTTTTAGTTGCCAATGGATTTTTTACTTTATTTGTTTGTTTATGTGGTGGTAAAGATTGAACCCAGGGCTTCATACATGCCAGGCAAGTGTTCTACCACTGAGTCACAACCCCAGTCCTTTTTATTTTTTATTTTAAAGCTGGGTCTTGCTGGGTTCCTAAAGGTGACCTGGAGCTTGAGCTTGAGCCTTCTGCCTCAGTCTCCCAAGTTGCTGGGGTTACATGGGTATGCCACTGTTCCCAGCTAGCCTATGTATTTTCTTCTCTTTTAAATGTTTTTATATGTTCATTATAGTTATAGTTATATGTAATAGTGGGGTTCATTTTTGACATAATCATAAATGCATGTAATATAATTTTCTCATTTTCAATCCCTAGTACTTTTCTTTTCTCTCCCCTCTCTCTCTCTCTCTCTCTCTCTCTCTCTCTCTCTCTCTCTCTCTCTCTCTCTCTCTCTCTCTCTCATTTTAATGTGGACCAACACAATATCTTTCTTTCTTTCTTTCTTTCTTTCTTTCTTTCTTTCTTTCTTTCTTTCTTTCTTTCTTTCTTTATTATTTTTAGGTGGTGCTGAGGATTTAACCTAGTGTCTCATGTGTGCGAGGCAAGTGCTCTACCACTGAGCCACAACTCCAGCCCCCCTCCCCTCCCCTTTAACTCTGATCCCCTCCCACTTCTCTACTGATTTGTGTAACATTTAGTATTCTATAATAGTGTTCTATAATTTTTATATGTAACTAGAGTTATATATAAAAGTAGAATTCATTGCAGTGTATTCATATATGCACATAGAATAACTTGGTCAATTTCATTCAGCCATCTCCTTTCCTGCCCTTCCACTCTTCCCCTCAATCCCCTCCCTCTCCTCCAATGTTCTCCAATATACCACGTTTTCTTTATCCATGACAGACAACTAGGCTGGTTCCATAACTTGGCTATGGTGACTTGTGCTGCTATAAATATTAAGAAATATATATATATATAGTATATATTATATACTATAGTATGCTGATTTTAGTTCCTTTGAATATACCAAGAAGTGGGATAGCTGGGTCATATGTTGGTTCCACTCCTAGTTTTTGTTTTGTTTTTTGGTTACTGGGGATTGAACTCAGGGGCACACAACCACTGAGCCACATCCTCAGCCTTGTATATTTATTTAGAGACAGGGTCTTACTGAGTTGCTTAGCACCTGGCTTTTGCTGAGGCTGGCTTTGAACTCATGATCCTTCTGACTCTGCCTTCCAACCCACTGGGATTACAAGCCTGTGCCATCTGCTTTGGCCATTCCTAGTTTTTTAAGGAATCTCCATACTGCTTTCTAAAGTGGTTTTATTAATGTGCAGTCCCACCAACCATGTGCACCCCTCCTCTGCATTCTGGCCAGCAATCATTATTATTTGTATTCTTTAATAAATAAATTTTTAGACGGCACAGCAGTGCATGCCTATAATCCCAGCAGCTCTGGAGGCTGAGGCAGGAGGATTGCAAGTTCAAAGCCAGCCTTGGCAACTTAGTGAGGCTTTAAGCAATTTAGCAAGTCCTRTATCTAAATAAAATGTAAAAAGGGCTGGGGATGTGGCTCAGTGGTTGGATCCAATCCCCAGTACCAAAAAAATAAAAATTATTTATTTTTTTTAGTTATATATGAAAGATGAACACAATACCTTAATTTTACTTATTTTTTATGTGGTGCTAAGGATTGAACCCAGTGCCTCATACATGTGAGGCAAGCATTCCATCACTGAGCTACAACCCTAGCCCTGTTATTTGTGTTCTTGATGGTTGCCATTCTAACTGGGTGAGATGAAATTGTGTCATTTTGATTTGCATTTCCCTTATTGCTAAAGATGTTGAACATTTTAGGATAATTGTCTTCTAAGATAACTTTGAAGAGGTATAATTGTAATACCATAAAATTCACCCATTTAAAATATACTGTCCAATGGTTTATAGTAAGTTTCTTTTTTTCTTTTTTTTCCTCCTA